TTTTAGTAGAGATGGGGTTTCTTCATGTTGGTAAGGCTGGTCCCTAACTCCCAACCTCAGGTGATTTGCCCACATTGGCCTCCCAAAGTGCTGAGATTACAGGCATGAGCCACTGTGTCAGCCAAGGGTTGCATTAAAAAAAAAAATGAATGAATGAGTGAATGAAAAGAAAAAGGCTTTATGCCAGACATGGTGGGTTATGCCAATAATCTCAGCACTTTGGAAGGCTGAGGCAGGTGGATTACCTGAGGGCAGGAGTTCAAGACCAGCCTGGCCAATATGGTGAAACCCCGTCTCTACTAAAATACAGGAAAAAAAAAGCTGGGCATGGTGGTGGGCACCTGTAATCCCAGCTACTAGGGAATCTGAGGCAGGAAAATCACATGAACCTGGGAGGCAGAGGTTGCAAAAAGCCAAGATTGCACCACTGCACTTCAGCCTGGGCCCACTGAGCAAAATTCTGTCTCAAAAAATAACAAATAAAAATAAAAAAGGGTTTGTAGCAGAGGAGGAAAGAAATGAAACAATAATGAACTTTTAAGAGGCACAAAAGAATCATTCTGGCCTAGGTTAGCTGGGAGTGAGAGCTGAAAAGAACAGAAAAGACAGATACTGTATGAAGGTGTGGGAGGGCTGAAAGCGTGAATGAAGGGAGGGGAAGGCGCAGACAGACATTGGGCAAGAGACCAGCGGGGAGAAGGAGCCAGGAGGGGAACGGGGAAGAGAAGAGTCCAGAAAGCCCCACTGAGGCCCACAGGCCCCGGTGGCTCCTCCCAACGCTCAGGCTCAGGGCTGGGTCCCTGCAGTCCTGCTCCCTGGAACCCCGGGGCAGTGAGGGCATGAGCTGCAGCCGTCCGGGAGAGGGCTGGTGTGGGGTGAGCAGGGGCGTGGAGCCTCTCAAAGGACTTCAGTGCAGAGGCTGCCAGGGCCCCAGCCAGCTGCACACTCTGGGGCGTTTGCAAATCAGTTCCCTCTGCATCGGGCAACTTGCAGCTGTAAGAGGTGTGCCCAGTGGGCCTTACGGGGTCCAAGAGTGTGGCTGGCCATCTGAGAGGACCAACACCTACTTTCAACTCTACATCTTTATGATTGAGGTGGTTCTAATACAACCAGGAAAGGTCCAAGATGCCGCAGGGCAGCAGATACATCTTCCGTGTCCACACTGGGCTGTGAGCTCTCACTATCGGCCCATGTTTGGACAGGAAACAGGCGCACGGTAATTAAACTTGCTCAGAGTCACTGCAGGTGGGGCTGATCTAGCTCAGGACTTATGGTCTCTGACTGGCGTTCTCAGAGCTGGAAGGGAGCAGGCAGCGTAAAAAACCCATGTAGGGCCAGGTACAGTGGCTGATGCCTGTAATCCTAGCACTCTGGGAGGCCGAGGTGACTGGATTGCCTGAGCCCAGGAGGTTGGGACCGTAGGAGCTGGGTGCTGCTCACTGCGTGAGCCCAGGAGGTTGGGACCGTAGGAGCTGGGTGCTGCTCACTGCCTGAGCCCAGGAGGTTGGGACCGTAGGAGCTGGGTGCTGCTCACTGCCTGAGCCCAGGAGTTTGAGCCTGGGCAACATGGTGAAATCCTGTCTGTACTAAAAATTTAAAAATGAGCCGGGCATGGTGGTGTGTGCCTATAATCCCAGCTACTTGGGAGGCTGATGCTGGAGAATCCCTTGAACTCAGGAGGAGGTTGCAGTGAGACGAGATTGTGCCACTGTACTCCACCCTGGGGGACAGAGCGAGACACTCTCAAAAAATAAACAAAATCCATTGTATAGATGGGAAGCCCAAGGCCCAGGTGCCTCCCTTTGGCTCCCACAGCTCCATGGAAGAGCATGGGGTTGCCCTGGTTCGAGTCCCAGCTCTGTCACTCGCTAGATGTGTGACTTTAGGTGTGTTCTCTTCTCTGTGGGGGGCCTGTGGATTCTCATTTGCACACTGGAGATGAGAATTTCCGAGGGCACACACACCCACTCCAGTGTCCTCGTGGGAGAAACTCATCAGGTAGGATTAATACTCCTGGCCTCCCCTTCCCCACTCCCATGGGAGGAGGAGAGACTATTCTGACTGGCACTCCCAGAGAGGAAGCCGAGCCTGGTTAGCTGTGCCAGTCCTCAGGTGCCAGCTGTCTGCAGGGCCAGTGACCGGGCCCTGAGTCTGTCTGAATCACAGTGAGCAGCGAGCAGAGGCCCTCATCCACAGATCAGAGGCAGCCCTCCAGGCAGCTTTAGGGGGACTCAGATTTCCATCCGTGGGACTCCTGAGAGACCACTTTCTCAATTTGTTGCAGTAGGTTACAGTAGCTACTATGTCTCAATTTGTTGCAGTAGCTAGTCAGACCTGAGCAGGGCAGGGGGGATCCCCCCACCCCGACTAGGAGACTCCTGGTGACTATCAGGTGATGTTGTTACACCGTATCTCTAAAATAGTAATGGACTTGTTGTGACACTATTGTTACACTGTTTCTGTAAAATAGTAATTGGCTGGGGTGGGGGAGCAGTCTCCTAACAGAATTACCTGAAGCTGGTGATAATAAGCTTCTCCTGATAAAGATCTCAGGCGTTGGGCAAGTGGGCTCAGGTGGTGGTGTTTAACTTGTATTGAACCTCAAGAGGACACTTGACTTGTAAGGGGAAAATGCCTCAGGTAAGCCTGCAGGCAAGTCCAGTAAACACACAGTGTGCACTCCCTTCCCAAAGGGCTGACGGGCCACTGTGCATGCGGACAGCCCACCCCAAGGGAGGAATCGGGGAGAAGGGACACAGATCCCAGACACGTGCCAACGCATAAAGCACCGTCCCCCCACCCCCTGCTTTTTTTTTTTTTTTAAAGTTCTGTCTCAGCTTCCCGAGCAGCTGAGGGCACAGGTGACTGCCACCACCCCCCGTGCTAATTTTTTGAACTTTCAGTAGAGATGGGTTTTCACCATGTTGGCCAGGATGGTCTCAAGCTCTTAACCTCATGATCTGTCTACCTTGTCCCCCAAAGTGCTGGGATTATAGGCATGAGCCACTGCGCCTGGATGGTTGAACTCTTCTGAGGAGTCACATAAGCGAATCCATAAGGATTTACTGCCAGTAACACACCCTGTGACTCAAATGGATAGGTTCTGAGCTTGGGCAGAGAAGAGGGTGTCATTTGAGGACTCCTTCCCCAGCTGGGATGGCACGAGGCTTACCCGGGGGTGTGACGGCCACTCTGCAACCCTCCCTATCCCCACCCCCATGCCCGTGACCCTGAACCACCCAGGTTCTGAAGGCAGGACCACCTCAGCCCCCACCAGCGCCCAGCTGCCACTCAGCTGTCCTCTCTCCCAGAAGGAAAATGGATTCAGCCAGTGGTTCCCACCAGCCTGGCACCCTGGTGACTCAGCCCCATCTCCTCTGCCCAGAAGCAGCTTCAAGAAACTGTAATAGCATCTGCACTGTTGGCAAAGGCAAGGCCGGGCCTCAGGGGCCACCTGGACACCAGGTGGACTCAGTCAGGGGCTGGTTGGGAGGAAGCAGAACCCTCTCCGGCTCACAGGCCCAGCTTGGCCTGGAGTGCGAGGTGCCCACCACATACCGATAGGCAATGGGAGGTCACTCAGCAGCCACAGGGGCCCCTCCCTTAGGGACAGCTAGCACTGGCAAGGCGGAAAACGGTGGCAGACGAGGGCCGGAGAATAATGGGAGGATACAAGTGGAGAACGGAGGTCAGGGAGGAGGCTGCACCCTCCAGTTTCCAGCACAGAGCCCGGGGTGTCCAGGGCTTGGCCTAGGGCGGGCAGTGACCCCCAAGCATCTGAACGGGCACCTGGGGGTCCCAGCGCAGCTGAAGTCAACACCCTGTACTGGCACGGAGGGGCTGCCATGGGGGTCTGCAGAGGGGACTTTTGTTTTTTGCTCCCCAGAACCTCCCCCACTTCTCCCTGCAACAAGAGGAGAGTTGGCAGCCTGGGACTTGTGGGGAATCCTCTGGAGAGGCCTGTCACTCCTCCCCACTGCCAGGTCTGGGTGGGGCACAGGGCTCAGGCCTAAGCCAATCAGTGCCTTCCCTCACTGCAGCCATGGGTCCAGGGTGAGCATGGGACCTAAGCTTGTTCAGTCTCGGTGGATCTGGGCTTTTCTGCTGGGAAAGTGGAACTGAGACATGGCATCTTTCTCCATCATATTTGATGGAAGCACAGGGCCCGTCCTGCCAGCTGGAGGAGTCAGCCTGCCTGACACTGCAGAGGCCGGATGCACCCCGGAGCCATCGGGCCGCTCGGCTTTAGGTCCAGTTCTTTACCTTTCCCGTATCCACCTCCTTTGCAGTGCCCTCCCACTGTGACCCTGGCCATGGCCATCAGGCTGGCGTTGGCCAATGGGATGTGAGCACACAGGACACCAGTCCAACCACGAAAACTGCATTAGCGCTTGTGTGTGCACCTGGGCCTGTGCTGTGAGAATATGCCGTTTAGCTGTCAGGAGGACACCTGCAGGAGAACAGTCACCCCGGCTGACACCTGGACGTCAGCTAGGATATGTAAGCAATCCCGCCAAATGAGCAAAAGAACCACCCAGCTGACCCACTGACTCGTGGGCAATAATGAACAGCCATTGCTTTCAGTGTTGGTGGTTACACAGCTGGGCAAGCCCCTAGCCACTCTGTTTTTTGAGATGGAGTTTTGTTCTTGTTGCCCAGGCTGGAGTGCAAAGGTATGATCTAGGTCCACTGCAACCTCTGCCTCCTGGGTTCAAGCGATTCTCCTGCCTGCCTCAACCTCCTGAGTAGCTGGGATTACAGGCATGTGCCACCATACCCAGCTAATTTTGTATTTTTAATAGAGATGGTGTTTCTCCACGTTGGCCAGGCTGGTCTTGAACTCCTGACCTCAGGTAATCTGCCCACCTCGGCCTCCCAAAGTGCTGGGATTACAGGCGTGAGCTGCCATGTCTGGTGCCCTTAGCCACTACATTCCCATTTTCAGTTGAACCACATTGGGTGATGATTAGAAACATTAATCCTAGTAAATGCATTATTTTTTCCATCCCTAGCTCAGGCACCACAGAGAAGAGTCCAAGGGCCGGAAGCATAGAATTTTAATTCCAAGGTTCTGAGTTCATCTAATGCCTCAGATGGCAAGTTTATAAAACACACAAGTGCACAGACAGGTGTGGGAGGTAGCTGGGTCTATAAAGAGTGTTTGCAACACTACAAGTGTCTTCTGGCTGCTATCAGGGCACTTGGAGATAGGGAAGGCTTGGTGAGGGCCGTGGCTTGTGTCTGCAGCACAGCCTCCTGCAAAGGGGCGGCCCTGCCCCCCTGCCCCCTTGGTGCCAGTCCATGCCCCCCAGGTGCCTCTGGCACACTGAAGATGTTTTCATAGTACTCAATCAGCAGTTCAGTGAACAGGTTCAGGGGCACGAGCGCACTCAGGGAGGAGGCCCCCTGGGACGGCCAGATCAAATTCAGCCCGAAGACACAGGCCAGGTTAGAGCTGTTCATTTTGTTGAAAATGCTTTCCTGAGATACCTGGAGGAAATCATACATGAGAAAAGGGGAGTGACCACCACGGGCCACCCCTGGGGACTGAGAACTCCCTCCTGAACTGTGGAAGGGGTGTGTGTAGTGAGAAGAGCCAGCAGACAGCACAGGGACCCTGTGCGGCCACCTCCCCACTCAGGGCCGCGGTTTTCCTGACAGGAAGGGTCTGTCCTGGAGCACCCTCAGGCTCTGACCTTCTGTGACAGTCTCAACACCCCACCCTCTCCTCTTCCACTGCAGTGTCCCGGGAGACACACTCTTGGGGACGGGCTGAAGCACAGACGGGATGAACTAGGTGACCTCTCTAGCCTTTGTGCCGTGGGTGGCGAACTGGGCAGGATGGGGACCAGGCAGCATGTAAGGGTCACTGCGAGGGGGGCCGAGAGTGTAAAGAGCTTGCGTCCCAGAAGGGCTCACGGTCCCTCTCGGCCAGTACAGCAACCCCAGGAGGTGGGAGTCACTGCTCCCCACGTAACAGATGAGGCATCTGGGGCCCGGAGGTACAGGAGACTTGCCCCAGGTCATGTGACTAGCCAGGGGCTCGGCCTGTGGGGCCCAGATGAGGGCAGCGCCTGTTCTCGTCTACTTGCCTTCGGACAAGATCCAAGCTGGGGGGAACCTCAGAGTTAGAAACAGGGATCATGAGGCGGGTGTAGCCAGAGGTCACCCTCACAGATCTGGTGAGGATGCCTAGACACGCCCAAGCCCTGCTTCTGTGAGACGGCCAGGGGCCGCTGAGACTTCCCCTGCCTGACAGTCCCCCAAGCCCCTTCCAGGTGTCCACCAGCCAGGCCAACAGCAGGCCACCCCTCCCTAAGCCGAAGCCCCCAGGTGCCACTCGGGGATAACACTCAACACCACGTCCCACCAGGCACATTCACGTCAGTGCTCACGGCGGAGGCGGCTATAGAGATAAATCAGTCTCTCCCAGTGAAAAAGAAGTAGGGCGGACATGGGGGCTCACACCTGTCATCCCAGCACTTTGGGAGGCCAGTGGATCAGCCTGAGGTCAGGACTTTGACACCAGCCCAGCCAACATGGCGAGAATCTGTCTCTACTAAAAATACAAAAATTAACTAGCCGGGTGTGGTGGCGCTAACCTGTCATCCCAGCTTCTCAGGAGGCAGAGGCTGCAGTGAGCCGAGACTGAGCCACGGCGCTCCAGCTTGGGCAACAGAGCAAGACTGTTTCAAAAAAAGTAGAAAAATTTCTAGAGGATTAGAAGAACGAATTTTAGTTTTGGGCCTCTGACAATTATATCAAGTGATGGGGAGAAAAGAACTGTTGTAAAACCAAGAGGTGGCATTCTCTGACGGACTCTGGCACGTGACACCTGTTCTGCCCAGGTACTCCTCTCCCCAATAGGGGGCACTGCCAGCGCCCCGCACAGCCTGGGGCAAAGGCTTGGGGAGATGGAGAAGATTGGACATACAGGGCCGTGGGTCTGGGGGCGGACCCATTTGGATGTGCTGAGCCTTCCTCTGTTGACCGCACAGGCTTTTGGTCCAAATGCATCCCTGCCCCAGGAGAGAGCAGTAAGCGCAGGCCCAGAGGGGCGATGGGTTTCTCTCTCTGTTCATTCGCTTAGCATGGTGTAGAAGACTGAATGGTGGTCCTTCCAAGATAGGCCACCAAGAATCGGTGACTGTGCCCTCATTTGGAAGGAGGGAAAGCAGCTGTCATTAAGTGAAGGATCTCAAGATGAGATCATCCTGGATCTTCCGGATGGGTCCTAAATGCAGTGAGTGGTGGCAGGGGCCTGAGCTTATGAGGGAAAGGGAGGGAGATTTGAGATGTGGAGAAGGCAGGCAGAGACTGGAGTGCCTAGGACCTGAGAGAGGCCAGGAAGGATCTGCCCCTAGAGTGTCTGCAGGAAGCACAGCCCAGCACACCTGGATTCTGGATGTCTGGCTTCGCAGAAGCGTGACATGGTAAATTTCCGTGGCTTTACACCACCCACTGAGCGGTCACAAGAACCTAATGGGTCAGTTCAGTCCACAGTGAGGGCCGGTCACGCATCAGGCTCTGTGCCTGTGGTGGACACAGTTTCCCACCTCTGAGACTCAGCCGAAACAGATGACGTGGGGGGCAAAGGACCCCACTAACGAAGGTCGTTAGCAGTGGCCGAGGGATGGCAGGTACAGGAGCAGGCAGGCCCATGGTGGACCCGCGTGAGGTCCTTGCTGGCCAGGGAGTGGTATTCCGAGGGCCAAGCAGGGCATGACTCCAGACCCAAGGCAAGCAGGGGCCTGGTCCACGCAGGAATAGCATGGCAAGAGAGGCCACTGGGCCTCACCCCATGTGCCCCCCTTGCCCACTCACCGTGTGCAGGAAGCCCATGAGGTAGCGGAGGACAACGTAGTTGTGCTCGGGCAGGCTCCCCAGGATCTGGCGGCAGCGGGTGACGCGCAGGCTGCTCTCCACACCTGGAACGGCACGGGCGTCCCTCCTGAGTTCCAGAGCGGCCGGGGGCAGCCCTGCATCCTGGGACGGGAGGAGGGCAGCGCCGCAGGAAGGAGGATGGCTCTGATGGACCCCCGCTTACTCCCTGGCTGTGCGGCTGTGCTCAGCAAACCCTGTGTGTGCTTCGCCGTTCTTGCATTTCTATGAGGGAATACCTGAGATGGGGTCATTTACGAGAAGAGAGGTTTAATGGGCTCATGGTTCTGCAGGCTGTAAAACATGGTGCCGGCCCCAGGAGGCTTCCAATCATGGCAGAAGGTAAAAGGGAAGGAGGCGTGTCACATGGCAAAATCAGGAGCAAGAGACAGTGTGGGGCAGAGGGGCCACACGCTTTTAAACCAGATCGGGTGAGAACTCACCCGTGGGCAAGGCCAGCACCCACCCATGAGGGGTCCACCCCCAGGATCCGATCACCTCCACACCTCCAACGCTGAGGGTTACAACTCAACATGGGGGGCAAAGGACCCCACTAACGAAGGTCGTTAGCAGTGGGTGGGGTCTTTGATCTGAGCCATAGCACTTCAATTCTGCAAGCTCTGTTCCTCTGCTTTTTCACCTAGCAACATCACGTTCCAGGAAGCTGCTAAAGCTCAATCACTCTATAAATGGGAACGGTCTAGACCAGATTTGGCCCATGGCCTGTTTTTGCCAGTAAAGCTTTCTTAGAACACAGCCACGGCCATTACATACATTGCCTTAGGGCAGAGCTAAGTAGTTCCAAGAGACTGCAAAGCCTGAAATAGTTACTGTGTATTTACTATGTGGCCCTTTACAGAAAAAGTTTGCCACCCCGCTCTAGACTGCCTGCTCATGATTCTCCGAACCACAAACTCCTCATGCCTTGTTGCTGTTGGGGAAGGCAGTGTCCCACCCTCCCAGGACCTGCTGCAACTGGCCCACACTGAGACCCACCCCCACTTACTCATAACCACACCCACCATCTTTTTCGTGCCGTTCTCACGACAGTGAATGATTTCTCAAGAGTTCTGGTTGTTATGGCTTGGCATAGTGGCTCAGGCCTGTAATCCCAGCACTTTGGGAGGTCTAGGCAGGCAGATCACAAGGTCAGGAGTTCAAGACCAGCCTGGTCAATATGGTGAAACTCCATCTCTACTAAAAATACAAAAATCAGCTGGGTGTGGTGGCAGGCACCTATAGGCCAGGCTACTCGGGAAGCTGAGGCAGGATAATCACTTGAACCCAGGAGGCGGAGATCGCGCCACTGCACTCCAGCCTAGGCGACGGACTCTTGTTTCAAAAAAAAAAAATCTGGTTGCTTACGTGTGTGGCATGACCTCACCCATCTTGCTCCTACTCACACTGCACGAGACGCCTGCTCCTCCTTCGCCCTCCGCCATGTATGTAAGCTTCCTGAGGCCTCCCGTGAAGCCAAGCAGATGCCAACATCCTGCTTCCTATAAAGCCTACAGAACCATGAGCCAATTACACTTCTTTTCTTTATAAATTACCCAGCCTCAGGTATTTCTTTATGGCACCCCAGACCCAATGACAAGTCACAACCCACCAACCACCACCAGCTCTGTCTGTGGCTCTCTGTGGGTAACTCTGGATAGTGGGGGACTCTGAAAACATCTCTTGCCTCCATGGCCACAAAAGGCTTACTGGTTTTGAGTCTGGATTAGATACACCTTTGGTTAAAAACAAGCAAAGAAAAGAACAAGGTTAAAAGGACTATTTGGAAAGAAACTGGACAAATAAAAAAAACCTTTAGGGCCTTCTACTGAAACAGTGATTAAAAGCTTTCACCCTGACAGGTCATCTTAACTTGTATGAAACTATGTATGAAAGTTACAAGATCTGCGATTACAACGGGCTGTGTTGCTTCATGCTGTCAGCCCAGCACTTTGGGAGGCCGAGGTGGGCAGATCAGTTGAGCCCAGGAGTTTGAAACCATCCCGGACAATGTGGTGAGACCCCCTCTCCTGTCTTTACACAAAAATCCTTAAAAATTAGCTGCGTGTGGCAGTGTATGCGTCAGCTACGTGGGGGACTGAGATGACATGACTCCTTGATCCCAGAGGTCAAGGCTGCCGTGAGCCAACAGCATGTCACTGCACTCCAGCCTGGAGACCCCGTCTTAAAATGTTTGCAGATCTATATTGTCTATGCATTTATGTTATGTATACATGAAATTTTTCTTCCTCTGATGGTATTACCAAGTTAATTTATAAAATCCCTTAAAGGAGTTCTATTCAAATTGGCTTCAAGATACAGGAACATTTATATAAATAAAATATTTCTAAAGCTCTCAGAAATACAGAAACTAAACCAAATATTCTTTTCAAGTTCATGTGATTTCAGTAACTCACACCTGTAATCCCAGCACTTTGGGAGGCTGAGGCAGGCAGATCACCTGAGTTCAAGACCTGCCTGGCCCATATGGTGAAACCCCATCTCTATAAAAATACAAAAATTAGCCAAGGAGGACGGCAGGTGCCTGTAATCCCAGCTACTGAGGAGGCTGAGGCAGGAAAATTGCTTGAGGTGGAAGAATCACTGGAACCTAGGAGATGGAGGTTGCAGTGAGCCAAGATGGCACCGTTGCGCTCCAGCCTCAGTGACAGGTGAGACTTCATCTCAAAACGAAACAGCCACATGCTCTGAGTTATCCATATTAAGTATAATCCAAGCAGACATCTTTATGTAGCTGGGTTGACTAGCCAAGTAGGGTTAAAAATAGGTAACAGGGGCTGGGCCAGGTGGCTCATGGCTATAATCCCAGCACTTTGGGAGGCTGAGGTGGGCAGGTCATTTGAGGTCAGGGGTTTGAGACCAGCCTGGGCAACATGGTGAAACCCTGTCTCTAGTAAAAATACAATTAGCTGGGTGCGGGAGCGCACACCGGTGACCCCAGCTACTCGGGAGGCTGAGGCAGATGGATCGCTTGAGCCTGGGAGGCGGAGGCTATAACCAGCCAACATTGGGCCACTGCACTCCAGCCTGGGCAACAAAGCAAGACACTGTCTCAAAAAAAAAAAAAAAAAAAAGAAAAAAGAAAAAAAGGAGAAATTACTTGAGATGATGACTAGCCTTATTCAGTGTTATGTAAGGCATTACAGTGAATAAGAAAGGTCACTTCCTGGCAGGCCCAGGAAACAAAATAGATTGAGAACTTTGAGAAGAATTCACTTAAATGTACAGATTCTACAGGCAAAGTCCAATGGCAATTTTTTTTTTTTTTTTTTTTTTTTGAGACAGAGTCTTGCTGTTGCCCAGGCTGGAGTACAACGGTGAGATCTCAGCTCACTGCAACCTCCACCCCCTGGGTTCAAGGATTCTCCCGCCTCAGCCTCCCAAGTACCTGAGACTACCGGCATTTATCATAACTGTGGTATTTTTGTAGAGATGGGTTTTACCATGTTGGCCAGGCTGTTCTTGAACTCCTGACCTCAGGTGATCCACCCACCCTGGTCCCCAAATGGTGGGATTACAGGCATGAGCCACTGTGCCAGGCCCTGATGGCAAATTTTTGGCTTGGCTTTCTAGCCTCAAGAGGTTTTTAAAAAGTGACTGAGATTCCTTATTAAAAGTCTAGCAAACCACACTTAAAAAGAGCCTACATAGGTCAATTCCCATTCTTGCTGCACTTACATAATCAGGCCAGATTGGGCGAGACCAGACGTATTTGTAATTGAGAATCAAAAGGGAAGCAACCGTGGGAAGCAACCACGCTCCAGCGGAAAACAGCGCACAGGCCTTCGAGTTCTCAGTTCCTCTCGCTTCCTCCAGTACCTGGCTACAACACTCCCAGCTCACGTCCAGTTCTTCTCCTACCCCCTGCCTTGGCACGACAAAGAACTCAAACCTGCCATTTCCCCAAAGCCCCAAAAGCTGATGCTGGAAGACTTGAGACAAACTTCAAAGAAACCGTCACAGCAGCTGATGTATGGCTAATCCTGCGTCTCCTGCTGCACAGGCCAAAGTTCACCGGAACACCACGTGTCATCACCAAAGCCATCTACATTGCAAACTACGAAATTTACTGGGCGGCTGCTGCCACTGTCATTCTACCATGAAAGGATACTTCAAGCCAACATCTAGGAATCGTCCCAACTAAATGTTTTCTCAACTACAAAAATTGGAGGTTATGGTTTGTTCAAAGCATTAAACATCGTGTTTGTTGACACACAAACGCCCCTTATTAAAGGGCTGACTTAGGCAAATGCCCCTTATTAAAGGGCTGACTTAGGTAGTCCCCTACTGCCACCCCCACCACTACCTCCTGAAATGAGACAGAACGGTTTACCCAGAGTGACCCAGTCACAGCACTGAGAGGAGGATTCAGTGCAACATGAGACCATTACCAACTGAGTTACCGGACTGTTAAGACGTCTCGGGGAAAGTTTCAGATGGGGGAATGCTGGGGTTCGGAACATGACTCTCGAAAAGATGGCTCCTGGGCATGTAAACTATGTGATTAAGCTGAACATCGGAGAAACGGCAGGTGCAGGAAGGGCTCTCTACCTCCCCCTACTGGTCAGTAACAGATCATAAAACCTTCTCAGGGGAGGGGTCCGCCCTATGCCCAGAGGGAAGGAACACCCTTATCTCTAAAGATAGAGGGATGACATTAGCTGGGCGCGGTGGCTCACACCTGTAATCCCAGCACTGTGGGAGGCCGAGGCGGGTGGATCACGAGGCCAAGAGATCGAGACCATC